CTGCCGAGAAGAAAGCCGCGAGAAAATTGCATGGAGACTGAGTCTCCTACGAGCGTTCGTGTCCGTTTTCAGGGCGAAACTGCGACAAAGCAACCTGCCAACTCAGTGCTCCATTCGCAGAACTCGCGACGGAATGCAGGCTGCTGAAGACGTTTTAAGGATTGTTAGGGCCGTTGTCAATGCATCTTCTATGCTACCATCAGTATGATTGCAGCTTGTGAAGCTTGAGAACTCAACTTCAAGCTGTGCCGGGCCACCCGCACCTCATGCTCTCTCAAGTGCTGGCTGAAGGTGGTCTGCAGTTTTCCCACCTCCGTGCGGAGGACCTGCGCTTCGTCAGGTCGCGGAAGAAGCTGTCAACCGCAGAATGGGGGTCTGTGGGACCATTGAGCCACACTCCAGTCGAAGATCACCACCCAAGGTAACAGAAGTAAGGACCCGGTACGGTGAGTGCAAGCAGGTCAAAGAACACATTATACTGTTCCGTCTTGAATTCGTCGAGCTTGCAAGGTCCGTGCCGAGAACCTTGAGGAGGCCTTAGACTTTGAGGGATCGCACCTAGACGTTTGTGGCCACAGCCATGTGCCACAATTCACGACCTCATGCACCCTAGGCCAAGCACTTCTGCTCCAAAAGAAATCACAGCTTAGTTAGACGTGTCGGCAACTTCCCGAGATTTGCCTCGTTGATCATTTGGTTCAGGTGAGCTTCAACATGGTCCTGCCAGGCCGTTGGGTGCCGAGAAGCGCTTTCGGAGCTTGAGTGCAGACCTCGTTGCCGACTTTGACCTGTCTGTTGCTGACATCGACCGACGACTCCGATGATGACCTGTCTCACGTTACCGAACCAGTGCATTGCACTGCAGTGGCTATGACAGCACATCTGCACCTGGACAGCTTGCTGAATCCCTGGAGGCAAGTCCATAATCTTTGAAAGGACCTCAATGAGCTTCCACCACTTTAGGACTGTAAGTTTTGTATCCCAGAACGGCTGGCTATTCACCGCTTAGGCCGGCACATGACCGTCACACAGAGCCAGCATTAGCCTTGGCTACAGAGCCGTGGCACAGGTACACTTGTACGTTTGCCAAGGCATCAACCGCGAGAACCCAGAGCCGCATGATCCGCAAGTGTCGCTTCTCCATCCGAGTTCTGTGTGAGGAAAAACATAGGATTATCCCCGAAGCAATCTTACACGGCTCGTCAGCTAGACGGTAACATACTGTTGCTGCAAAAGTCCTTAGTGTCACACTTGCCTTCCACAAGACTCGGCGATGTGCACAATGCAGCGACATGTTTGCAGTCTGCAGATGTCTGCAGTGTCAAGAATGCGCAGGCCCGCTTGTCTCGAAACCTCTCTCGTACGTCACGGATTTGTTTCAGGCTGGCGAGCAAGCGTTGCTGCACATAGAACCTGTCTACCGCCAGGCTCCCGGTCGCGGGAGGACGATGAAAGGACAGTTACCTGATCTTTGCAGGCTGTACCCACAACTCGAGACTAAACATGCGCTAAGTCAGACATCGAGGCTTCGCGGATCAAAGCTCTCGCCGAATGTTTGGCCGTGGCGACCTAGGAAGAGAAGCAGTGAGCCATGCTTCCAGCTCACACTACTCAGTGTCTGTGTATTTTTTTGGTTTTGGGGCAAGTGTGCATGAAGTGCAGGTTCGAGACAGAGAGGTACATCAAAAGGCTGCTACTGTGTTCAGGCTACAGCCATGCAGTTCCTTGCTGGACGGCTGTACATCGCGAACTCGCGTGTGAGGTAGCAGAGAGTTCAGCCAAGGTGAGTATAGTGCTGTAGCTTGGTCACCAGCATGAGGATAGCGTGAGGTATTGCATCTGCAATCGTTTGTTGCTGCACCCGTTTGGAGCCCAGGTTCGACGTTCGGCCCAAAGCAAACCTCTACAGAGGCAGACTGCTCTCTCTCTCTCTCTCTCTCACTGGAAGAAAAGACATGAAAAGAAGGATGTTGCCTGTAGTTACAATGTCAATCGCCAAAGTGTTGTGGTCATCGTTGCAAACATGCATGTTCCTCTGGTTCTGAACCAATCTGATACACTCGCCATGCAGGTACACAAACACCTGCCGCACACTGAAGTTCACCAACGTCGCGCCAAAGTTCACTGAACTCTCTCAGCCTTCCTCCCTGCGTACCTTCGGATTGGAGATGCATCCGACTCACTCGAAAGTGCACTGCCAGCGCCGGCAGCTGCCCGCGCCTGCGGCCACAGCAATTGACGCTCCGATGGTCCGACTCTCCATGCGTCCGCCCCCAAGCCCCCCGATTAAGATCCGCACAGCCCGAAGCTGTGCAAAGCGTGAAGCCATCTGGCGCCGGAGCTCCTGAGGCACTTGGAAGCCGACAGAAGCCGGCTGGTTTCGAGTCTGAACCGAACCGCTTCCTCCTTCTCGCCATCGGTCTCCTGCAGTGATTCCCCCGTGCAAGGTCGCAATCCCCTACTTTCCGAAGAAACGGGGGGAACGACTGGCGCAGTTGGCGCCAGGGTCAAATTCCACGTGATGCAATTGAGGCCTTCAGGGGGTCGCTGGGCCCCAGCACTCTGTGCGGCCAGAACCTACGAAGTATTTTTCCTATGTGGAACACTCAGTCCACCCAAGGCGTCACGACTGAAGGTCCCAACTGACACCCGCCTCAGATGCCTGGGTGCATTGCTCTGGCTGTGAGACCAAAGCACTTCTTGGAGTCAGGGTCCCAACTTCTCACAATCGTATTTTGTTCTGCTTTGCACAGGAAGCAGCCCTGAACAAACATAGCTTCAGATTCTCGGATTTGAAAAGCTATCGGCAGTTCCTCGTCATCGCTCTCCACCATGTGTCTCTCCTCAACACTAGTTGTATGCGCCTCCAGTTCCAGTGGTTCAACACAATAAAGGCTGAGACCCAAGCGCAGACCCAAGCACCAAACCTGCTGCGAGCCTTGATGACCTGAAAGAATCATTCTGGCTGTACAACTATATAACTGCTGTGCAAAACCATCGTGGCCTTGCGCAGCTCCTGCTGCTCGACTTTGAGGGCCTGACCGACACACAAATGCAGCGGTTCCACAAAGCCCATGCAAGCAGAACCCTCTTGCAAGTTTGGCCCTGTCGGGGGTGAGGGCTCCATGCCAAACATCCGTCACTCTCAAGACATCACATGACTCTCAAGCCGGGTACGGGCCCTCTTCTCCGCATCCGGGCTGTGCACCGCCTTGTCCCGACGTCGGCCAAGCACAGCAACGGATCAATGTGCAATGTTCGCAACGTGCTGATCGCCCCAATGCGCAGCTATGCTCTGCAAGAAGCACTCGACTCTGGCCTGCATGGATCGCAGCTTCTCCTGGTCTGCGCGAGATTGCGCGAGGGCCGCAGAGCAAGGGCAAAAGAAAAAGAGTGTCCCTCAGGAAATTTCAGCCACTCGAAATTCCCCAAAGCCCTCCAGACAGTTTTGAGCTCCGTAACAAGTGCGCTACCAGCTGCCTTGCCTGTAGATGTTCGTACCATTGAAGGCAACGGCGATAATGTCAAACCTGTATCTACTTCTGAAGCCAGCGATGTGAACACGATGGTCACGACATACTGCTTCGTCGTGCAGGATACAAACGTGGAAAAGTCAGAAACCATGAAGGTGTGCGACGCATACCTATGGCTACTCCGTAGCCAGCTCTCTCACGAGCCACTATTGACAGAACATGGCTCTCTGAGTCACTGAGGGACCTCTATGTTGACCCCAACTTCAAAATCACAAGCGTCAGGGCCTCGCCGTTTCCCTTGCGCAGGCTTCCCATCCCTTACTAAATCCCACTGCTGCGTGGGGGAAGTTCAGCATGCAGGATAGCTTTGGAGACTACTGACATGAGCTAAGTCAAAGGAGAGAGATAGCCTTCGTGTTTCGCAGCAGACCCTGTGCCACAGAAGAAACTGAAACCAGCCAAGTAATTAGAGGTTGGTGTCATGTAAAGTCGATTTCCAGCCTTCAGCTCTTCCACCCTGAGCTCGAGTGCCTCATACGCGATGCATGGATGAGCTCAACTCTTATTTTCAGTAGGCTAGGCAGACCTGTCTTTCTTCTTCCCATCGCTCTCGTTCCTCTTGCACCTCGGACAGGCGAACTGCAACATGACATGGGTTCAGGATCGGGAACTCCGAACTCCGTGCCAAGCCACTAAAGCCACAATGGAATCGACGGACATGTGGCCCTGGAAAGCACCACTCACATGAGGACCATCTTCGGAATATGAGCTGAGTTTGCCGGTTTTGCAGACATCAAACTCAATTTGTCCCGATGCCCCCCTTCAAACAAGTGAATGCTTCATTTCATCGTTTCGATCTGCCCACGTCCTTCTTCGCAGCAGCTTCAGCAGCCAGATTTTCGCCAACATCCAAAGCATCCGCACGCCTTGAAAACATGTTCGAGCGACAAGTCTTGGCCGCGCGAATGCATGATGGGTCCGTGTTGACGGCTTATTTCCACTGAGGGCGTGGTTCGCGGCGTTCAAACTAAAACCCACAAGACGAGGATCGAGCTCAAACCCAAATAAACAAACATACATACGGCGTACAATGCTTTGATGTCTCCTATAGGCCCTAGGTGCGTCTGTTGGAGTTTGGGGCATCTTCAACTGAGGGGTGCACCAGTTCATCGAAGACGCGTCGCTTTTCTTGCCAATGGACGATGTATCACTGCCTTGACTAAAGGGGTGACACCGCCAACAGGACGTGGCATGCTGGGTCGAAGACTGGCTTCCTTCTGAAGGTCCTGCAACCCAGAAACCAGCAATAAACAGCAAATAAAAAAGATCAAACGATGCATTCCTCGTCCTCCTCACCTGGCGTGTCCAATGCATGGAGCTGCCTCAAATCGACACTGATTCCGCACGAACTGCAATGCAGACTTGAAAGCAGTGACTCCTTTCTTACGGGCAGTATCGGGCAGTGCTGCGAGCGGTGTGTTCGATACATTCAACCCACTTCAACCGCCGCGACGCAGGCAACGGTACTCTTTGCCGGTAGCATAGCCATAAGGTTCAACAGGTGCAAAGGTGCAAAACACCATCAATGATTCCCTCAATGACTCACATTATCAGTTGCCACCAGACAGAACGGAACGAGCTGGTTCTGCATCAGCGATCTGTGCATTCTGGTTCTCGGCTTTTTCGAGACTTCTGATTGAACTCGTGCTGTCGGTCAGTGTGTCGCGGAACTCTGCATCGCAAGCCAGATTCAAGCATAAATGGAGTTTACTGGACATTGCCCACGGCGTGGCTGCGGAAGGTGATTGGCTCACGTGGTCCTTTCTTCAGACTGTAGTGTAGTCGTTGCAAAATACTGTGGTCTGTTTTTTAGTCGTGTGGTTCCTCAAGAAACTGATTGCAGTTTGGGGGACCTCTTCATTTGCGTCGGCAAGGGCATGAGTCAGGACGTCTTTCCTGTACCGCAGGAATGCCTCGGGAGTCATCTGCTGCTGGACTGGGGCCTGAGGCAGCGAACACAGCTTGTATCATAGTGTTTGCTTTTTTCTCGTAGCAGTGTTCCGCAGCGGGCATCAGCTTGGGACACATAGCACCCGGGAACCAACGATTGTTCTTGAAGAAAATCATCCGGAAACGCGTGAGGGCTGTAACTGGAGCCAGCGCGCAACGTACCGGGAATTTCAAACAACCGGCCAGGACGTAACAGGAACCAGGGGGACATGTGACTTGAACTGGGTTGGGGCTAGTAACTGTAAGCAGTGGGAGTTGCAACGGAAACCAGCCGGACAAACGAAACCGAAAGCGGGTTTTGGGTCGAGACTTTGAGTTGCAGCGTTTACTTACTCTCAGAGAGACATTCGAACTCCTCTATAAAAGCAGAGCCCTTCAAAGCCCTGATAAAGACCTTAGAAGCCTTTCATATGCTCTCATAAGCCCTTGCAAGGGCACCCGTGTAAGCGCTTTATGAGCCATACAAACGTTTACAAGCCATTATAATAAACCCTCAGATGCCCTTCGTATGCGCTTAAAAATAACCTTCAAAGCGCACTAGAAAACCTTAGCACTTCGCGCTCACAAGCACTTTAGAAGCCAAAACCTCGGACCATTAAATCTCAACCCTTAACCCTGACTGAAGCCCTATTTCTTCAACCCCGAACCCTAAGACAAAGCCTTGCCTCTCCTCTTCCTGTCCCCTCCCTCTTCCCTCTCTTCCTTTCCTCTCCCCAAGCCTTAAACCCTCTTGCCTAAATCCAGGAATCCACACCCCACCTTCAAAATTCATCGATTTCTAAACACAAGCTTTATCATGAAAGCTCCACTTTTCCTCTATTCGCACACTCCTCCCCAGAACCCCCTCTCCCCTACACCGCCAACCCTATACCCTACCCTACCCTGATCCCTAATTAAACTCTTAACTTTTAAAAGCCATGGGTTCTATTGGGATTTCACCTCAAAAAAATCTGGTTTCTCATTGGTTTTTGCTGCAAAACTATGGTTAACCAATGTTCGAAACCCTTAACCCTCAAGTGCACAATAAGAGGCGATTGCAAATCACTTGTTAAAGTCCGAGAGGCAGTTCCTGTTACAACCCCCCCGGTTGCTGTTACAGGCCTCCCCCCGGTGCCTACTACAGCGGGCCTGGCTTCTGAAACAGTTTCGAGCCGTTTCCTGAAACAATTCTTCTTGTTACAAACCTCTGATTCAGGTTGCTGCGTTTACTCCCCGGATTTCGCATGGCGCCGAACAAATTTCCATAGCGCGGCAGCACCAGGGCCTCGTGATTTGGTGCCTGGTTGTCGGAGGTGGACTTCTTTGTGACCCTGACGACTTTCTTCATGGGCAGCTTCGGCGAACGCGTGAGCAAACCTTTGCAGGTTTAGCTGGAGCTGCTCCACCGCCATCCCAGGACGGCACCACTGACCAGGTGGAGGGGACTGGAGAAGAGCGAGCGCTGTCCGTGCAAGTGGTGGCATCTTCGATTTGCACGGTGAACGCCTCCGCGGCTCACTAAAGGCTTGCGAGCTGGTGCATGTGACCCCCATGCAGGGATTCCAGAGCTGAGGCCGAAGTCTGCCAGGTGTGTTTCCCTCTCTCCCCAGCTTTGGTTTCATGGCCCGCCTTACGACTAACACCACCTCAAAGAAGTCTACTTCCCTTAAGTCCTAAAGTACACTCACGGGGACTCGCAGGCTGCAGATGGCATTAAAGGTCCATATCGTTCATGATTTGGAGTGGCGCCGTCCGCTATTGGCTGTGGAAGCTTCTGGGCTGCAGGGACCGCATTCCACAAGAACTTCTACAAGTGCCGGGGCTCAGGCCCCTCGAAGGTGATACGGCTCGCTTTGCGAGGTTGCTTCACGCTACCATCCTGCACACACGGACATTGGATGACACTGGAACCACACCGGCTGCCCTGTGGTCTGCTGTCCCTTAGGGATGGTCGGCGGGACATAGGTGGCGAGTCTGAGTTGTCGCTCGCGACTTCCTGACATGCTCGCAGTCCAGTGGCTCTGCTTGGCATAGAATGAGACTGGCCGGGATGACACTCGCTGCTGCGCTAACCACGGTTGAAGTTGCTGGCGTGTCTGTGTCCTGTTCACAGGACATCACGGCGGAATGCCGCAAGTCGTCATCCCAAGCTCACGCCTCCAGCAGTGGTGTTACCAAGCATGCGGGTGTCAGTGCCCCACCGATTCCGCCCCTGCCAGCGCTTAAAATACACGGAACACTGAACACGCCATAGGCCGTCTCATAAGGATCGCACATGGAAGTTGTCCATCGCCTCCAGATACAAGGTGCGGCAGGCAACTACGGCAGCTGGATCTGGAACGGATGCCGCATGATGCCGGGAGCCTTTTATCGGGTCGGCATATGGGGCGAAGCTCCTGTCACAGACACCGAAATACGCCACTACGTTTTGCTTGACTGCTTGTGAGCTCCTGCGAACCGGTTCCTAACCATTGTGCAGACCTGGGCAGGGAGTCAACAGGGAGTCAAAACCAGGACCTGTCTCGACACTGAGCGTCTCAGCACCGGGCTTCGCCGCCTCTTCCGAGTCGGGTTCAGCCTGCAAAGCTAAAGCCCCGCCACTTCAGCCCGTTGCCCGGCTCTTTCAGCACAAGGCCCGAGCAGAGACCGCACGCTGGTAATTGGTGAGGAGGCCCTCCGCATCTTCGCTCTTCTGCACCTGGCGCTAGAGTCTAGAGTCTGGAGTGCTTCTAAGCAGGGATCAGCTGCAAGCGCTGCACCTTCTTAAGCCTCTCCACTGCACCCTCCAGCTCGTGCAGGACTGCCTCCTTTGCGGTCGAAACATGGCATCGGCTCAGACCTGGTGTTCACTGTTGAGCACTGCCACAAATCGAGGAGTGCTCGGACAAAGTCCTGCAATGTCGCCACTTGTGTTTTCATCGCCTCTCTGACCTCGCGTTCACGAGCTCGCGAACTCACGGAGGGGTTGTCTCTCAGCTGCAGGCCATGCTTTCCAGTGGCATGTCCGGCTGTGTGGGGGGATTCAATCTTCCTGAGCGGCGTTGAGTTGGGATTGCGAGGCCTCACCGATTGCTTGGCTTTCGGTGCGCCTTCCCCGTCTTGCTCACATGAGGCCTTGATATGCACGACAGCCATAGAAAAAGGAGCTTGCAGACCAAGGACTTACATGCCCGACGAGCCTCTGGACGAGGCTCCCTGCACTCGGTTCGCCTTGACAGGTAGGATGTCGCAACAAGTTCCGCGGCAAGGCCTTACGAGCTCAACGCTTGCGAAAGCATCGGGAAGATGTTGCCTGTATCTGGGTCGCAGGAACGCCCGGAGGCCCATGGTGCAGCCTCCGGCCAAATACTCTGACTAGAAGGGGGAAGAAGATTGATGCGGCGTTTGACTCTGCCTATGACCCTCGCAGAACCACACCACGTTCCAAAGCTGCGGAACGCTGCGACTTGTGCCCGTGAAGCCAGCCAGTCGCTTCAGCTGCACCTGCCTTCTCCACAAGGCGGCATACTGCGGACATTGCCCTTTCCTTGTGCTGTGTCTGGTTAATTCCGGTTGCAGACTGGAGCTGAATCTGGCTATGTCAGGCTGTGTGCTCACTCTGAGACTACACCTAATGCCCTGTGAGCCTTGCAGGATTCGGTGATGAGGCCAAGACTTGTCTGAGCCACCTACCTGGCAATGCACCAAACTGCCGCTGACATGATCCTACCATATACACGGTTGTTGCTGCTGTGTACCTGTTTGCAAGCCCCGATCTGCAGGCTCCTTAGAGATGCCTACAGTGCGCAGCCCTCCCCCTCCCACTACACCTAGGAGGCCGCTACAGCGAGCTCCAACATCCGACGTCGTGCTAAAACGCTAATATGCTGTAGATGTGAAAGAAGGACATGATTCACTCAACAGGGTTTCGCCCAGAGCCTCGAGTATCTTCATGGGATCGCCTTCACATGTTTGCATACATGCGATCGTCATCGTCTGCAATGTTTTTTTACTGCTTCCGAAACTACATTTAAATTTGGCAAGCGCCCCTATACAAGTGTTCGGTATCAATTTACCGAGCAGGAATCGGTCCTGCACAACTGAATGCGACTCATTTTCGAATATACTTTATTTCATAACATCATCACAATAATATCCTATCTTAAACCGCCCAAGTTAAATACGATATATCGATAATATAACACATTATTACTAAGAATAATGTATTGCGACAACTACTACAAATACTACTAATATTATTATACTACCATTACTACTTATATTAGTACTATTATAATTTCTACCACAAACTATTATCAAGAAGTATCGTGTAATGCATCCTACGTGACTAGCACTCAACCCCATAACGCCCATTAAATATCGTATCGTTAGCATCGTTCGCAACTCTATAAAGCATAATCAATGCGATATACCACAATTGATCAATATTACCAGAATTATTATAATATTCCCAGAAATCTACATCAAATATTCAAAATTATACAATTTAGAACCTACTATTTACTAATTTAAAAAAATATATACAAATCTCAAAAATATTTACCAAACGAAATAAATTGATTAAAGACAATTTGGTATCTCAGAGATTCTCTATACTTTCTCTATTCTCAATATATCCGCGGAAGAATAATAAATAAGAAAAATCCAAAAAAAATCAATTGATACAGAGTTCAGTTATATCGACCGAGACCGCAAATATCTAAGAGAAAATTCGTAAATAACAGAATCCTACAAAATTAGTCTAATTTTGCTTGTAGCGCTATGTCAATATATATAAAAGAAAATTTAATTCGGAATTTGGTGAATGAAATTCAAGAATGACATTAATTCGATTTCTTCTGGAATCTTAGATTCTTATTTTTCCTTGAATATATATGTCGCCTTACTTTCTATTCATACGAGTTGTTCTAGGTTTGTCGGCCAACATCTTGCTCGAAGCCATGAATACCTGGCCCAAATTGTTAAATCCTCGTTGGCATGAACTCCACAACGCGGCTCATACAGCAAGTGGTAGCACTAAGAAGAGCTGCTTCAAACGTTCTAAACAACTAATTCTCGCCACGAAATACTTCCATGAATATTGAGTCACAGCCTGGGGTGCAGTCTCCATTGCCATCCACGTATCCCAGTTTGCTGTCGTCGAAATGCTTATTTGTACCTGAATAACTTGTGCAAGTACGGTGAATCACGCAATGAAATAGAAAGGCTTGCTTGGAAGATGCAACAAAAGCTGAGTCAGATGCATGCAGAGAGTTAGATCCTGCAACCTTCCTAGCCAATGCAGCCACTTCAACAAGACTCATTCTGCAGCGGAGGCAGCCAAAGGGAATTTTTCCGCCGCATGCAAATTTCGCAAGGAGTCTAGCGATGTATCTGCCCACTGTACCTCCACACCAGGCATAGCCTTAGAACATGAGCCGATTTTGCACGGCAGCACATCACCTTGTGCCCCTAAAGCAAACTCATCTAAGATTCTGCTTTCCATCTCCGCAGTGCTTCCTCGTTCACAGCGGGCTTTTCCTGAATCTGCCCGTGTGTGCTTCATCACAATAAAGACATGCATTCCCGTGCTAGCCTCGCGTGCATCTTCGCGACAAGCTGCGCTCGCCATTTGCTGCAACTCTCTCTGCTCCTTGGATGTGGCGACATCACATTGCATTGGAGCGGCAACCCGTGGGGCCATGGCCTTGGCGCTTAGTGCATTCGTTGCTGGGGAGTCATGCCACAGCCTGGCAGGCACAGTACCAAAGACTGACTGAGGAGGGGGAGCAGCTCTCCTGCCTAGTCCAGTGTTCGGACTCTTCTGAAACGTCCTGTTTGGCAAGCTCCACATGCAGAAGCAATCCGCCTGCGCAAAAGTTCAATCCCGAATCCAGGCACGAATTGCCACATCGATCACAGAGCATGACAGGCGTACCTTCCTCCAGCTGCCAGCTGCTTTCATCGGGCTTCACCTGAGGGAGAACGGACAGGTGCGTAGGCCAGATCGGCGCCTTCTAGATTCTAGATCCTTGACTCTATTTGCACAGCAAGATACCGATTTGTGCAGGCATCCGTCTGCATGAAGCCTCGGGCAGCACTTCCGCAAAGACGCGCGCTCACACTACAACATCCGAAATCCAAAGCTTCCTTAAGTCAGAGAACTTGCTTTGGCCCTCTGCAGACTGGAGAGCGATGTGCAACTTTCGGGAAGTAATCTGTCAAGCCACGCCAAGCCAAGTAGGACAAGTTTTGAACATCTCAGGCGGCCTCGCAAGTAATGCTCGCCTTCGACAATCCTTGGAGCTTCAGTCTTTTCCATGTGGTGCAACTGCACAGCATCCTGGGCAGCAGGCTTCTTCCTTGAGCCGGCATGAAGACATGGAGGATGGAATCGCTTTGACCCCAGGCCTGTGACTTCACTTTCACAGAAGCCGAGTGGCCAAAGAGCGCAGAAAGCTGAAGGCAGTTCCTTTATACTTTTTTCGAGTTACTGTAGCTAAGAATCAAAATAAAAGTCTTAGCACTCGTCTCACAGCCGTGCTGGCTCGGCTCCGGGTCCCAGCCGTCGTAGGAGCCGGGCATAGCCATGATCATCCAGGCAGTCGCTCCCGCGATCAAGAAGACTTGCTGGAACAAGTTGCTCCAGGATCTGTTCAGCAATCGAGCATGCTGAGCATAAACAGCCATTGGCCAGGAATGTGCCTGTCTAGGAGGAGGAATCTCCCTCTTGGACTCAAGCACTTCTAGCCGACGAGTCACGCGCTTGACCTTGAACCATCACAATCCGCACACATGTCACGCCACGACCCCTGTGGGCCGCAGAATATCTGCACTTATTGGATCGGCAAGCAGCTTCATTTGCGATCTGAGCATTGGCAGGCCTCGGCTTGTGCATTCTTGGGACGTTGTCTGTTCGTCAAAGCTCCGAGCATCTGCAAGCAGAGTCGAGGCAAATGAGACACAGGCTCCTGTTGCTGGGCTTGCAGCAGGTCGGCCAAGGCCTTCCTTATGGCCTCGTGTCTCGTGTCAGTCAGCATGTCTCCAACTCCAAATGCTCGGTGTCTGGCATCTTCTGGCAAGCCCTCCCGATTGTCCTGCTCAACTCCAAAGAACAAACAACTCCATCTTGTCAGCACGGCATCCTCCAAGAATGCTTGAGCGCGACGAAATCTCGCTTTGACCTCGGCTCAGCCTAGCCAACCTTTGCGGCGCTGTGTACAGTATCAACGAAGGTGAGTTTCGAGCATGCTCTGGGTTGAACGCAAGTGCGATGTCAGCTGCTGCTTTCGCATGAGTCCATTGAGGTGGCACCTCGGCCCAACGAACATAATCGATCAGCACGGGTGCGTTCTCAACAACGGGCCGTGTACCTCCTGCAAATACACAGCAGCCAGATTGGAGTGCAGGGCACACCTGGTTCCCAACACCCGAGAACTCATAAGTGTGAGGACAAGTAGGAGCGTGGCAAAACGCGCTCGGAAAGGTTGCAAAGTAAAGATTTTTGGCTGCGATCACAATACAGCGTGTTTTTGATAGACCTGCGGAACAGGAAGACATGTAGCCTCCTTCGCATGGTCGCTGACTCGCCTCTGCACTGTTTTGAGCTTCATAAAAACCCAATGCAAGTAGTCACCAAAGCTGCAACCATACGGCTGGCCCCGTGTACTGTCATGACTATGTTGATAATGGCAGATGAGAGTGATGCAGGCTGACAGCCCCCAAGCAAGATCTGCCAAACCTCATGCCTTCGAGGCTGTACAAGAAGACATGCCACTGTGAACCGAAAGGATTGGCGTCTGACGAGCTGCAGGGCAAAACGCCTCGTAAGCAGACACACCAGAACGGTTTAACTACTGCCGACGCCGCCACAACGGGCCAGGAGTCCAGCCCACTATTGAGTGCCAAACACCTAATCTGCGTCGCCGCCACAACGGGCGCTACTCTTGTGCGTAAAGCCACTTGTGCGCAAAAAATGCGTCACAATAGCTCTTAACTCGCTGGATAGTTGCTGTTTCGTTTCAACCAAGGCTGCGCCAAGCTCAGAATGCTTGGCGAAGCTCCATCGTTGCTTCACTGCTTGACAGCAGGGCAGCCACAGCCGGAATGTTGCAGGCCAGCATCTGGAATGCATCTTGAGTCTAGAGTCCTTGCGCCGCTCTGGCACGCCACTGGGCCTCTGCATCCACTTCCGGGCGCTGCAGCAGAGTCTTCGCCACGTAGAAGCCGTAGCGGGCTTGTGCCAGCTCGGCGACCTCGCGCGAACAAGGGGGGTCGCGGGGCAAGGCATTGATCATTGCACCATGGCACAAGACTTTTCACATGCAGAGCAGGCAAGTATGCACAGGACCAAAGTGAGATCGCAAAGATAACACACTGACAGCATCAACTGTCAGTCGATGTGAACGACGGTGGACAGTGCATGTCTTCGCGTATTGCGTACTTCCATCCTTCCATGTCGCAAGAAACCACGGCATCCGCAACTCTGATGTCTTCGATTCCAGTCTTCTAACTCTTTGTTGCTTTACCTGAAGTCCCGCATGCGCGCTGTCGGAGAGGCTGGGGCTCCCACCATGTTTGGATGAGACAGCTGCTGCAGCAAAGCTTGTTGGTCCTGACTAAGTCACAGAACCCCCGCACTGCAAGTTCTTGCTGTGATAATGATCGAAGTACAATAAGAGAAACAGGTTTCACGATGCATCAGAGATTGTGAGCATCTTCGGCAGTGATCCAACAGACTCTGTCACTGTCCGTGCATCTGACCTCTTCGCGACTACACACATCACAGGCATTCTTCAGGTCTACCCCAGAAACAGGGGTTGACAAGCGCTCTCTCACGCCTTCTCCGAGCAGTGCGACAGAGCCGACTCCACGACATAGCTGGCCTTGGGGTTGGGCCCACAGGGTGACCCGGAGAAGCGGAGAAGCTGAGGCACAGGCACTGCGATGAGAAGCGTTTGCAAGCAGATCGTGACGAAGGACCTCCGCGATGAGCTCTTTGTACCTCGACAAAGGGATGAGACGGGATGAGTGGCACGGTTGCCAGGCTGGCCAGTGCCTCGCATCTCCGTGCTCCAGTATGGACTGAACCACATGATGTCCGAAGTTGTGACGGCAAAGGTCCAAAGCCTGCGAAAGTCCAAAGCTGAGACATGGGCCGAGGCCGAGGACCCGACGCCTCCGCGGGATCCTCCAGCACTTCGTCGATGAGTCGGAGAGTCCCCTCCTCAGCTCTTCGGCTTCGGCTCACAGCTGCACGTAGCTGCACACAGATGCACGCAGATGCAGCAAGGGCTCCTGAGAGGAGCAGTGCTCCAAGAGGCGACAAATAATTCGGCAACCGAAGCGATGCCTGGCCTCGAACCCAAGATAAAGGCCAAACTGAAGAATCTTCGCTGTGTTTCCATCGTGCTCAGGCGTGCTCAGGCGAGTTGTCGGTGCTTGAGGCTTCGGCGAATCGAGCGGCGTTGCCCGAGAGCTCTTCTGCGATGAATGCCGAGGTTGCTGGACTCAGCTGGGTGATGACCTGTGCGACTCCGATGCTTTCCGACCTTCGTCGACATGGCAGCACCTCGCCTTCTGGACCACGTAGTTGGCATGAGGAGAAACAGCAGCCTCCCTCACATGCCCGTGTAGCTCAGCGGCCAAGTCCTGGAATAGGTCACCAGTGCCAGGTCACATGACACCGAAGAACCCCAAATTCTCCTTGGCAACACCATTGCTCGCCTTCTCCATGGCCAATTGCACCTATGCTTGAAGTCCTAAACTCACGTCAGACAAGGCGGCAACAGTCGGCTCAGTGTTGCCCTCTCTGGTCAACATGAGGAGAGCTTCCACGCGACATCCATTTGCATCACGAGACAGTGGCCATACCTTGCTGCCGCGGTCTCAGGAGTCAAACACCTACTAGGAAAGAAATTTCAGTTCAGACGGCACATTTCCGTGCATCCTGGCCACCTTGTCAGAGATCTCAGACATGGCCAGTGACAGGCCATCATGTCCGGCCTGAACAAGGTTCAGGATTCGGAACGTGTCGGTGAACTTTTCATGTCATGGCCTGCAGCTGCTGACGAAGATCGTCGCAGCGCTCTTTGGAAAGCAATGAGCTTTCCTTGCTAGACCGACCGAGCAAATGTGCAAACAACTTCCCACTGCATGGCCTCTCCACAGCCACGAGCCGAGCTCTGAATCATCCCCGGTGCCTGGCGGCATGCCAATAGCTTCAAGCAAGTCCAGCTTTCGGGACTTGTGCGAGGGTGAGTACAAGCGTATTCGAGCCTTTGGTTGTGCGGTGCGCATGCGCCGGCGTCGCCGCGCGTGTCCACGTGCTTCCTCACGGGGTGCAGAATAGAGAGGTTTGTCTGCTCGTCCATGTAATCAGGCATCCTCATCCTCCATGAGCGAACCAAATTCGTATCCTCCAGCCTGCACGAGCATGTTCTCATAAGCACTCCTTACATCGGATTCTCCTTCAGCCAGGTTGCCATGTCGGTGTAGGGGTCATAGCCAAAGTTGCCATTCCTTGGCAACTCAAGGCGGGCCAATAGCCGTCTGGGGCTCGGATGCACCAGGAGCCCGACTCCATTGGCCCCATCTCGGGAGAGCTTGGAGCGTATCCCCAGGAACCAGTGTAGTCCTGACTGGGGGCGGCCACAGGAACTGCCTCGCGAGTGCGGAGTTTGTCGGAACTTGAACTCTTCTGAGACCGTTTCCGCCTGTGCTTGCCCTGGCATGACAGGGCCGGATGCGTTCACGATCACGGGCACCTGGTTGTTGCATCCGAAGAAAGGCGTGGAGCAAATCACGAAGCTCATATCTCAGGCCGCACACCAACATCGTCACATACGGCTGGAGAACCTGCGCTATGGCTACACAGCAGCCATAGCCTGCAGACATCATGTCTGTGGTGGCCTGCATCACAGGCTGATTGGAAGTAACCTCCTTGGATGCCACGATGATGAACAGTTGTGTCCATGTTGCTCTGCATAATCGGCCGGTCCTGCGTGAGGAAGGGCTGATGGGGCTCCGCGACGGCAATGACTTCACACCTTGCACTCTGAATCAAACTCAGTGGCTCCCACCATGTGCAATGTCTGAGCTGCGCGCGCCATGCTGACTGCTGGACTGTCTCCAAGCGAGTAAGATCGGGAGTGTGGACTTCACGATGGTTTGAATTGCAATGGCTGCAACATTCCCTTATGATCCAACGGCTTGGTGTCCTACTGTTACAGCAAAACTTGCCACTCTCAACTGGGATGAAGAGGATCGAACCCCAGCGCGAGATTGCTGGCATTCGCTTTTGCATTCCCAACTCTCTGGATAGCCTGCGAATGTCAAGAGGCGGGACGTTTGCCAATACCACTCCTTCGAGGATGTGAGGATGAGGCCTGGATGTAGTAGGACTTGGCTTCGCTGAGATACTGGGTTGAAGCCGTCGTTCGCCTGGCGAGCCCTAGATACTCATGGCAAAGCTGCCAGTGCCAGAAGAAGCGGCAGTGGCTCTTCAAGAGTGCAGCGCGCTTGAAGGCCAGATTTCCCTGACAGACTGAGGTGTTTAACGCTTGACTGCAGGCGACATCGCGAATGTCAGGAGCACCGAACGTGAGCCCAACCTGCGCTTTCAAATCCTCGATGGACAGACCCTCGCTTGTGGACGGAGGAGCCTTAAATCTTTCGCTCAGACACAGAACCGACAAAAGCACAAGGGGCTGCTATGGACCATGCAGGATTCAATCCAGCGGGAGGGACGCTGCCCGACGTCATGGACACGCACTCCCTGTCTGCTTGTTGGAGCTGTCGACTCGTCGCTCGAATCGCACAAGCATGTCTACGTCACCAAGCTCAGGGCGCATCCGTATTAGATGCCGCCTTGAGCCTGCAATGATTGCTACAGTACAGGCTTCACGGTTTTTCTTTCAACCGGTGCTGAGCATGGGCGGGATGACGATGATCATCGTGATGACACGGCGATTGGGCGGGTGGTTGTGCTGCTCATGGTGGTGAGGATCCTCACGACACCGACAAAAACGAGGATGGTGCGCTGGGATCTCGGAGGCAAGCTTCAACTGTCAAGGCTTCCGGCTCCATGGTTGCTGGGCTTTTTCCATCTTTTTCCCCAGAGCCAGGGAAACTAGCACCAAGGTCCCAGGTGTTCCTCCTCTTCAGACAGTGACCGAGAATATTGGCAGCATTGTGGACTCAGCCACGCACAAATCATCTGCTGCATCATCAAGGAGCAAGCCATGACAAAGCAACAATAGTCGATCCTTCTTGCTTTCCCACTCAGCCTTTCTCTTCGGTGCTGTCAGCACTGTCTTGACTTAGACACGCACAAATCCGAGCATGCATCATCGTGGGATTGCCACATTCATGACACCCGACACACACACACACAAAAAAAAAAACGCGTTGTTGAACGGCCGGTGTTCTTCACGCACATGCGTCACTCCCGATCGTGAGCCACATGTACACCATCATATACCCGTGGGCCAAATCAGAATTGGAAACGGTTCCATGCCAGGTGCAGGAATCAATATTAATCTTCTGCTGGACCCACACACGACACTTGGGAGGATGTTGAAGCTGTGCCATTCGCCGTTGTCACAAGTCACAAATACAAAGTACAGCGCGTCCTTACGGATCTTTCAAAGGCCTTCTGAGGCACTGGAACGTATGCCACCGGTGATTGTGGTCGAGGGGGACATTTGTGCCAGGAACGCCCTGGGGCATCCTGGGGCTGCGTGGGGAATGTGTGAGGGAACAAGGTTCGGCCAAACAGTCGAGACAGGCGGTGGTCAAGCCAGGAACACCCGACGTCTACTTAGGAACACGCACAGGTTGTCAAGAAAAGCACTAAAAGGGGGCATACTAGCCCAAAACGGCCCTAAACCTGAAACCACGAAGCAGTAACTAGTGGTTGCCCACACTGCTTTTAATCATCACATCTCTCAAACTACTTCGCAGGTTCCAAAAGAACTAAAACAACTCCATCGCCGTTTGCGGAAGCTCCGACCACCAAATCATAACCGCAACAACATCAATGATAACATTAGTGATGGCAACTGTAGTTATGGTTGATATACTACTGGCAAGTAGTCATACTGTTAACAGCAGTAAGTGGCATAGAAGTACAACTACTACTGTTTGAATAACAAAAGCAATGCAGCATGTCTGTGTTTATATGACTCAAGAAGCACTGTTTTCGTTCATCTTGCTGATGGAGATTTGCTTGCCGGAGATGTGACAAGCTGCTCTGCCGAGTTCTTTGGCCTCGGAGAGGGTCGCTGCACCACGGCAACGGATGCGAACGTGCACGGATATTGAAAAATGGTTGGCTGGTTAGCAGTTAGCCCTTACTTCCAGGAAGACTGATTCAGATCGTCGGCTCCGAGTAAACCCTGAGAAGCTTAGGGGCATGCGGGCAGCAGTCGAAGATAATGCCACACAGCACGAGTGGTTGCCCTGGTGGGCGCCGCCTTGGAGGAAAGCTGGGCCTGGGGTTTCTTCGGATCGTAAGAAGCCTGGCCTGGTGATCTCGAGCATGAGCGGCACAAAGAGACAAAGGCCGATCAGCGAGAACCTCTGCTGGAGTCTTCACAGGGTGTGCCATTTCAAACTGGAGCGGCAGGAGATGCGGGAGGACCAGGGTGCCTGAGTCCTCAGCAAGGACACGCGAGCGTGACCCTCCCCTTCAAAGACCCCCTCCCAGCCTGCCACCTTCCGGCTCGAGCGAGATCGAAATCACAGGAAGATCAGGAAGTGTTCTGGACCACCCCAGCCCCGCTCGCCCTCTTCCCTCCGGCTGCTCCAGCTGCTTTGCAGCATGGGCATGAATGGGCATCCAGTGACACACACACACACACACTTGCATCATCCGGGCGATGCCGGTTGTCACTTTTTCTTTGTTGTTTCATATGTCTTTGTTCAGCTTTCTTTATCCTTTGTTAAGAATGCATCTAACAGCTAATGGAGCCTTCTTGAATCCTTGCACGATTGACAACAAAAGATTTTAGCTGCACGATGAGTATACACTGGAATAAAGATGGAATCTCGAGGCTAACATCTAGAGGAAATTACAATCACTTCAGATCGAAAGTGAAACTTGCAGCAGGTACAGAGTTATGCGACCATAGCTCCTTCCACCTATTCCGCTAGCT